TGTTCCCCTCCAGCCGTGCTCTGGAAGAGGGCAGCCCCACTGGGGCCGATGCCCAACGAGGATGTGGACGTYGAGAAGTTGGAGATGCTGGAGAAGTACCGGAGCTTCACGCGTTACTTCCGTCTGGCAGAGCAGGAGAGCAAGAAACCACACTGGTGGAACACCTACCACAAACACACCAACCCCCCTGCAGGTAACCCTGGGGTGAGCTGCTCTGGGAGCCACGGGTTTGCCCCCAAACCTCCCTGTGAGGAGCTGGTGAGGTGCTCTGGCACAAGATCTTGTGTTCTGTACAAGGTTGAAGAGTGCAGAGGTCTACAGGGAAAAGGGGTGGCAGTTTTCCAGAGGGAGAGAGGCTGGCAGGACCTGCCAAAAGGCATGGAGTAAAGAAGTGATTCCTTGGAGCCCCGGTAGTGCCACAGAGAGCAGACAAGGACCCTGAGCTTCAGGCCTGCAGCAAATAATACAYTTGRGCTGTTCAGCAGAAATGGGARGGCCATAAGCTGGGGAAGGAGGAGSAGGAGMGTGGAGGTACAGAGGGSACTGAATCAAGTCCTGATTGYCATTTCAAGTGTTTTCTAGCAGAGATGTCCTTGTCCATGGAAGGGGTTGWAAATGGATGGTCTTTCAGGTCCTTCTCAACCCARACCSTTCTGTGATCCTGATYTCTGYRTGTCTGTGTCTCTCAYRCCCTGTCAGACATTTCWCAGGKGATYRTGTTTGGGTGTTCTGGGTGCTCACRTGTTTCACCTCCTTGATTTTTTCACCCCTCCCTGAAGAGCCCCAGACAGACATCGGCCTGCCACGTGAGAGGCCATTGAGGGCCAAGGAGCTCAAGGAAAGRAAGAGGATCCTGAGGGAGAACCGCCGGAATGCCGAGATGGAACGTGCAGCACGGCTCCGGACTGGTCAGTGCCCCACCACCTCCCTGCCTGCCCCAGCTGCTCTGGGTGCCCAGCTGCTGCCTCTGCATCCTCCCCCTCTCCTTGCAGCTCTCATTCCCCTCGACGATGTCAGGGCCGAGTGGGAGAGGACCAGTGGCCCGTTCCACAAGCAGCGCGTGGCCRAGCACTGCGGGGTGTTCCGGGACCTGTTCAAGGGGGCCACCTTCACCCCCTGGGTCGCCCTGAGGGTGCAGTACAGCCAGCAGGAYGAGCACCTCGTGCCAGTCTACTATGGGAACATGGTGACTCCGTCAGAGGTGCGTGAGGGGAGCTGGGAACAGCCTGGAGCCCTTGGAAAGCTGTTCTTGTCAGATGCTTCCAGGGGGTGCCTTCTACAAGGGCATTTCTGCTGCAGGAAACCATTTTACAGATGTGATAGGGACAGAGATTGCAGGTTGTCTGTCAGGAGGATGATGGTTATTTATGCCCTGGGGCTCTCCAGGTGWATTCCTCAGTAGTCTGGCAGTGCCCAGTCTGTGTTGTGTGACAGCCTTGCCCATGACTGGTTTGTGGAAGCTGTTGTGTGAGTGATTTACATTGTCTTTATGTTGCTGTTTTAGGCTGCCAATCCCCCTGAAGTGTCATATGAGGCAGACAAAGGCTCCCTCTGGACCCTGCTGCTCACAAATCCAGGTGAGCAGTGAGTTCTTTAAAGGAACATATTTAAACTGGGTTGTTTCACTCAGTTTTTGGTTAACATCTGATTCTTTTGGCTGCACATTCGATGAACACTGGAAGTGTTAAAGGCCRGRTTGGAGCAACCTGCWCTMATGGAAAGTCTCCCTGCCCCTGGCAGGGGGTGGAACAAAATGAGCTTTAAGATGCCTTCCAGCCTTCACTGTTCCACGATTCTGTGGTTCTGTGATGTGATATCTGCTAGGTAGGAACACAGTACATATGTAGAAAAGATTGTAGCCTCTCCAAATTCATAGCAGTTGAGGGAGGGGACAGTGACACAGCAGGACCTGTGTCACACTACAGAGGAAACAATTCCCTGACTCCCATCTTTTGTTTACCTCCAAACTCCCCTCCGTGGGCAGTCTGCCTGGAAGGCAGCTTTGCTGACACTGTTCACCCTGAGAAACCAAGGCACAGTGAAGGGCAGCAGCTGACCAAGAAGRTTTCAAGAATCTTGGAATTAGATCTGCAGAGTTCTCTCCTTATTTTAAACTCAGTCCTACAGGAATGAGTTCTTTTTCTGCTAGGGAAGGAGTGCTGGGAGGTCTTGAGCTGTTCCCTCTGGTCAAAGCAGGTTGGACATTCTCAGTTTGGGGAYGATGCTGGCACCAGGGTGTCCCTAAGTTACCTTTCTCTGTTTTGTGTTGGCAGATGGACATTTGAGGGATGCAGACTCGGAGTACCTCCACTGGCTGGTGTGAGTACATCAGAGCCATGTGCTCTGTGCCCGTGGTGGGGGCAGAAACTCCTCCAACAGCTCAGAATCCATGGCTTTCCTTGGTGCTCCTGCCATTAGCTCCTTTAGCCYCGTGTTCTGGGTCCTGCTAAGGATTCAGGAGTTCCTGATGTCTCTGCTGTTTGGCATTCCAGTCACTGGGTGGGACTTTTCCCATGGTGAAAGCAGTCTCTGTTATCTGCTCCCTTATCAAATGGGGCAGAGGTCACATCACAGCATGGCAGAGTGCTTTGCAATCCTGGATSAATCTTCTGGAGGGAAACAAGTGTGGATGTTTTTATGTTCAGGACCAACATCCCAGGCAATGACATCAAGTCTGGTAAGGAGATGTGCCATTACCTGCCCCCCTTTCCTGCCATGGGGACYGGCTACCACCGCTTCATCTTCCTGCTCTTCAAGCAACACGGTCCCATCGACTTCAGCCAGGACGCTCGGCCAACACCGTGGTAATTCCTCTGCTCACAGCTGGGCTTGGCTCTTGCTGCTTGTGGGGTTCACGTGCCTGTCACTGCAGTAGGGGAGCAGCTCCTGTCAGTCTGCAGGGTTCTCCAGGGCTGCTTTGGGTTTGTGTGTCCCCTGCAGCCACAATCGCAGCACTGCAGAGTCCTGTTGTTACAGAACAGGTTGTTAACAGTGCTTTGTGCTGCCCAGAAATACAGATACTGGAGATTTCCTTCTAGTGATAGTCTTTTCAAGCTGTTCATATGCTCTGGGGTAATGTGGAGCGGGGTGCTGCTGGAAGGAGAGGTTCACCTCAACCCTGGTGCTTGTGTCTTGTTTCCAGCTACAGCCTGAAGATGAGAACCTTTAGCACGTTTGACTTCTTCAGAAAGCACAAGGATGCCATGACCCCAGTAGGGCTGGCATTTTTCCAGTGTCAGTGGGACAGCTCCGTCACTGCCACCTTCCATCAGCTGCTCAGTAAGGAATGGGGGTGCTGGAGGGGTCTGTGGGTGGGACATGGCCCCGTGGGCAGCAGGCTGTGGCTGCAGGCTCTCACAYGTGCTCACATCAGCACAGACTGAGTCCTACCCGAGCCATCCTCCTCCAAACTAACAGCAGCCTGAGGGAACAACCCCTAAAAAGAGGGGAGGAGTTTGGAGTGAGGATCTTAGAATAACTCCAAGAGGGCATGTTTGAGCAGTGGGTGAGGGTGGTGTGGGGTTCAGATGTGAGCCCTCCTGCTGATCCTGTCCCCYCTTTTCAGACATGAGGGAGCCCGTGTTCGAGTTTGTGCGGCCGCCCGTGTTCCACCCTCCACAGGTGAAGTTCCCTCGCCACCAGCCCCTGCGGTACCTGGACAGGTACCGAGACACCGACGAGCCCACCTACGGCATTTACTAGGAGCTGACACCCCCTGTGTCTGTGGGATGCTGGCTCCTGGATTTCCTGCACTCCATCAGTGCCTCAGGAGGGAAACAAAGTCTCAGCCCCTCAGCTCCCAGTTCCCCTGTGCTGGAAGTGGCATCGGGTGCTCACAGGGCTGGCAGCTGCGTGTGCAAGAGGCTGCTTAGCAAGGATGTTCAAAGTGAATCCACTGCCAGGCTCAAACCTTGCTCCTGATTCTGCAGCAGARCTGAGCAGTGGCTGGCAGGTTGCATCTTCCCAGACTTGCCCTGCCATGATTCCCTGCAAGGATCACAGTTCTCCTTTTGCCTGTTTATGGAACCAACAGAGCCAGGCCAGCCTGGATTTCGTCCTCTCGCAGCGCYGTGGTTCAGGACTGTGGCAGATTTTATTTGTGCAGTCCTCCTGGAGACATGAGTCTGATTAAACATGCTCTGAGTGATGCTGGCAGGGCTGTCTTTATTGGGAAGAGCTTGTTATCCTGGGCAGCTATCACAGAGCTGGGGAGCTCAGCACGGTGCAGGGGAGAAGAGCAGTCCCTCCTCTGGTTGGGATCTTTTCCCCTCTTGGAGTTGGTGTAGTTTGGGAAGTGTGGCTACACAGGTGGTAAACCTGCACAAGGTTTGTGTTTGTGGAGGTGGCTTCATCTACCCAAGCACGTGGATCTCAGTCTGCTTCCCCTCTCTCCCTGGGCCTGGTGTGGGCAGGTGGAGCAGAAGCAGAGCTGCTGCTGCTGCTGGTGGCCTGGCATTGCTGCTGGTCCTGTTCCCAGGCCTTGGAGAGCCTCTGCTCTCTGCTGTGCTCTACTGAGCATCCCCTGTTCATGTGCTGAAACCCCCAAATACCAACATTCCTGTWGTTACAGCTGCCTCCTCCCAGCTGTGGTTCACAGTGACTTTTTCTGAGGTTCCTCCTCTCAGTAAACAGCTGAGACTGGGGCAAAGTGTCCCACACTGCATGTGTTCAGCACTGTTACCAGTTAACCCGGAGTTCCCTGAACTACCCTCCCACTCTGAAGGGTTCTGGGGTCTGGTTTAAGCTGGGATGATTGCACTGGGGAGGTGCCCACAGTGGGGACATAGGTTTTGGGCAGACTCACAGGTTGTGTTACACTCCCCTCTGGACTTTGAGTATTCGGTCAGAATTGGCAGATACAGCCCAAAGGAATGATTTAGGGCTGAAGCTCTGCTGGGACTTGCAGGGAGTTGTGACATCCTAAGTGCTCTCCTGAGCCCAGGGATGGTCAGAGGAGTGGCTCTGAGCCTGCCTGTGGTGTGGAAGCTGATAGGAATGATCCAGCAGACTGCTGCCTGCTTGCCCTCGCCTGTGCAGGTGAAAGGGAAGCTGCTCATGAGGGGAGGCTGCAGAGCTGCTGAAACAGAGCTTTGTCCTGTCCTGGCAGCGTCAGCAGCCTGGGAATGTGTGCAAGAGATATCACATGGGCTGGGTACAGAGATAAGGTTTGGGCTGGGAAGACTGAAACTGAACTGTGTGACAATGAGGTGAAGGTTTGCACTGCACAGGCACCACGCCGGCCTCCGGGCAGGAGACTCCACCTGCCACCCGAGCAGGGACAGGTGGCCCAGGTGGTGTCTTTATTGCCATGTCTTTATTGAAACAGCCCGTTTCAGGGTGCTGATGTGCGCAGGTGTYGCAAGGAAGTTCGTAGGAAAAGGTGTGGTGGGTGTGCACGGGGGCTTGTGCAAACAGCAGGAGCTGTGGTTTAAAAGGTGCSAGGGCAGAATGTGGCCCTGGCTGGTGCTGGCATGTGTCACAGCATTGCCACTGCACAGAAAGGTGACATGTGGCTGCCGCAGCAGTGGGTGCCTCTCTCTTCTGGTCCCCAGGCTCTGTACCGAGGGGACCTGCCATGCCCTGGCAGAGCTGAGGATGCCTGGAAGTTCCCTCAAAAGGCAATAAAGGAGTGAAAATCCAATTGCACATCAATGCGTGCTTGGCAAAGGTGCTCCTGGAAATACACTGAGGTGTTCCTGGAAATACACTGATCCCTGCCAGYCTCCTGCGTGTCTCCCGTGCTGTCACTGCACCATTCCGTTCTCTCCGGAGTCTCCCACTGTGCTTCACAGCCCTTCCTCTCCACGGGAGAGCAGCTCCAACCCTCCCCGTTGTCTCGTCTCCCCGGCATGTGAGGCAGCCAGTGGGACGAGGGGACAGCCACTGGGTGTCACTTTAAGAGTGCATCTGGCCGGGAGCCCTGACCCGCCTCCGGGCACGGCGTCAGCGGCTCTTCTCCGCTGCACAGATGAGTTTCTATTTCCCCGTCGCCTCGCCCCGATCCGCGGCACGGGCACAATGGCATTACCCATGTCTCAGAAGCTGGAGGAGAAGCTGGTGTGCTCCATCTGCCTGGAGCTGTTCAGGGTGCCCGTGACCTTGCCCTGCGGCCACAACTTCTGCAAGCGCTGCATCGGCGACCACTGGGACAAACAAAAGCAGGCGCCCGCCGGGACCGACGCGAGCTACACCTGCCCCGAGTGCCGCCGGGGCTTCGAGCAGTGCCCGGAGCTGGAGAAAAATGTCACTCTGTGCAGCGTGGTGGAGCTGGCACGGGACAGCGAGGCGCGGGGCTCGGCCGCGGGCCGGTGCGAGGTGGCCCCTGGCGAGCTGTGCCCGCAGCACGGGCGCCCGCTGGAGCTGTACTGCCAGGACGAGCGGCGCTGCATCTGCTGTGTCTGCACCGTCCGGCACTGCCAGCAGCACCGGAGGGTGCTCTTCGAGGAGGAGAGAGCAAAAAAACAGGTGGGTGACAAGGCTGGGGTGATGGGAGGAGCAGGGATGGCAGCTCAGGGATGGCAGGAACCCACCTCCACTGCCCCGTGTCCTGCTGCAGGGTGTGATGTCCCTCTGTGAGCCCGGCCTCAGCTGGACATGGGGCTGGCCAGGGAGATGCCACCAGTGCCCGGCTGCTCCCTTAGAGACCAGGGTGTGAACAACCAAGGTGTTGCCAGGAGCAGGAGCAAGGTGGGCAAATCCAGCAGCACAGGATGAACTGTGCTGTATGTGTTTGTGACACTCTGTTCTAAAGGAGACAGCTAAAAAAGGGGTGAAAAGCAGCACAAAAAAAAATTACTTGTTTTCCTGACACAGAGACCCCTTCCCAAACCTTCTCTTTTCCTGTTAGCCTTGTCTTGCAGCCCTGAGAGGGTCCTGGGGACAGGGTGGACAACAGTGGGTTAATCCACAGGATGTGCAACTGGACACAAAATGGAAGAAATGATTGKATGTGACACTCAGTGCTCTGGTCTAGTTGGGGRTGTTCAGTCAAAGGTTGGACTCAATRATCTTGRAGRTCTTTTCCAACCTTAATTAYTGGTGTCTCTCTTCACAGAACTTTTTGAAAGAATCCCTGGAAAAAGCCCAGGAGGAATCAGAGAGGATTGAGCTGGAAATGAARGAGCTGGAGGAGCAAACACAGAGCATCAAGGTAATGCTGCAGCCTCCCTGTGCTGGCCTGTGGGTGGGAGCACACTGGTTCTCACAGCTCTTCCTGCCCAGGACTCCTCTGAGGAGCTCAAAGCTGGGATTCAGAGCAAAGTCACCCATCTGAGGAAAGCTCTGGAGGATTTCCAGTTTCGCACTGTGGCCATGATTGAACAAGAGCAGGTGGCAGCACTGGAGCGTGTGGGGGAGAACTGGAGCCTCCTGAAGGACCACCTGGATGCCCTTGGCCAACACAGGGAGAGAGCTCAGAGCCTGCTGGCCTGCCCTGACCACAGGACCTTCCTCCAGGTACTGCTCTGGCACTCAATCGCCCCCTTTGCTTGGGCCTGCACCCTTTTGAAGACAGCAGAATCGTGTTCAACCCCTTTCCCATGGGGAATGCATCCTCATTCCAGCTCAGGGATATKATGGGGCTGTGGGGAAGAGCTGATTTTGGGGGGTCCCTGAAAAGTTGTGTGGGCACTGCTTGGCTGCCTCTGTTGCCCTCTGGGGACCCATGGTGTGTGCAGTTGGGTTGGCACCAGGCTGGTGCACGGTGTCTGTGTGTCTGTCYGCAGGAGTTCCCGCTGCTCCCACCTCTGGAGAGCCCTGGGGTGCTGATGCCTGTGCAGTTTGATGTGGCTGCTGTGATCAAGCCCATGTCTGACATCCTCACCGACATCTCCCGGCTGCTGCTGGAGGATCTGCCTGGCTCTGTGGCCGCCAAAGCCCCTGACCCCACTGGCCAAGGTAACCCTCCTGCTCTCAGGGGTACCTTGAAGGGCTCTTAGTGTGGCCTGTGTCACTGCTGGGGACACATCTGCTGGGCACAGGGGGTTGGCTCGGGTTGGGGACACACATTTGCTGTTCAGCAGATGAAGTTGGATGAGCTGGGTGGCTTCCCTGTGGCCCCTCCTTGCTGGGAGTGCTGAACCATGGTGGCACATGCCTGCTCCCAGGTTTGGATACAATGGATTTCTCCTCCCATGAAGCCAGGAAGAAACAAGTTTTTGGATGGCATCACTGAAAATGCCTGTTGCCATCCTCCACAGGCCCGGTGCAGCCCCAGGAACCAGTGGTGAAGGCTGTGGCCCCTCTGCCCAAGTGCCAGCTCCGAGCTGAGCTTCTGAAAGGTGAGGAGTACAGGGGGGCCTGGAGGGACAGCACCTCTCTGGGGTCCCCAGCAGGCAGAGATGTCACCAAGCTGGGCTCCTTCCTGGAAGGAGAGTGGTCATGGCTGCAGGGACAGGGGCTCCTTCCCTGGTTCTTCCAAAGTATCTCCCTAAATGCAGAGAAGGGTGGTGTAGGGACAGGGTGGATGGGCTGGGGACATTGTGTGGGTGGGAAGGGGCTCTTTAGGGGCATTAGCAGCACCAGGAGATGCTTTCCTATGGAAACTGAGGCTGCCTTGCTTTGGATCAGTGACTGCCCTGCACAGCACAGCCCCAGTTCAGAGCCCTGCCTGCAGTCACTGCTCTCTGTCCAGGGATGTGGCCTCAGCATTCCCAGATACAATCCTTCGTTGCCACTTCTTTCCCTGGGCCCATCCCACTCCAGTTCCTTAGGAATTTCCTCTCTCCTCTTTTCCCATCTTTTCCCTGTTGGGAAGAGGGTTGGGTAATGTTCAGGCCGTGTTGGTCATGTCACTCTTTCCAGGGAGGCAGTTGCTGCTTATGGGATTTGTACAAATTTCTTCCATCAGACCCCACAGAACATTCTAAGGGTTATACATAGGAACCCCCTGTTATTTATCAGCAGCAGGTAGGAGCCCAGCCAGCTGACAGGCCCGGGTGTTGTGGAAGGAAGGTGGGTGCTGATGGCCAGTGAGAGCCTGTGGCAGGAGCTATCACAGCCATGGAGAGGAGAGTAATTCCATGCAATTCCATATTTGCTCACTTAATGCCTGTTTTTCTCCCCCTCTCCATACCCACATTGGTGTTTTTTGTTCTTGAAACCAAGCACATCCCTCCCAAAATGGCCAGAGTCACTGTTGCTTGCCAGCTGTGAGCTGAGCTGTGCAAAGCCCCGTGTCTCAGTGCCTCAACAGCTATTTCTGGGCTTTTCCATCCCCTCTAGGGCAGATACCACATTCTCCCTACTCTCCTTCCCCTCCAAACAACCTGTTCCCTTCTATTTCGGGAGTCACCCTACACAATTTAACCCCATCACTGCTGAGGGGGTGGTCTGGTGAGGTTCTGATGAAGCCTTTCAGCCTCACCCATGGCCTTGCTCTTCCCAGACCACCGCAACCTGACCTTCAACGCTGACACAGCCAACAAGTACCTGAAGCTGTCCAGAGGWGCCCAAAAAGTCAAGCACGGCACCRGTGCCGTGCACGGGCAGGAGCGGGGCCCTCGCTTCGAGCCCTGGCAGGTGCTGTGCACGCAGAGCTACGGCCCCCCCGGCCACCACTACTGGGAGGTGAAGATCTCCAGCCACTCCGTGGTCCTGGGGGTCACCTACCGAGGGCTCCCGCGGGGGCAGCAGCAGGGCCACGGCTTCAACATCGGCCTGGACGGGGGCTCGTGGGGGCTGCAGGTGCGCGAGGATTGTTACCTGGCCTGGCACGAGGGCCGCGCCGAGAAAATCCGGGAGCAGCTCTACACCAGCCTGGGGGTCAGCCTGGATTATGGCAAGGGGCTCCTCTCCTTCTACGGCCTTGGGGAGAGGACACAGCTCATCCACTCCTTCCATGGGATCTTCACTGAGCCCCTGTACCCCGTGTTCTGGCTGTGTGAGGGGCGAGTGGTGACGCTGTGCCAGAGGGACTGAGCCACAGTGCCAGGCTGGCAAGTGCCAGGCTGGTGCCACCAGAGCTGCAGCTGGGGGCTGGTACAGTTTGAGTGAAACCTCGATGCTGAGGCAGGCGTGGGGTGCAGTGTTTTAACAGGAGCTGATGAGGGCAGACATGCAAATTAACCCGTTTGATTTGCATATGCAAATATAACACTAGGGACACACGGCAAGGCTGGAGCTCACAGTGCGGGCACATGTGGGTGCTTATCCGGCAGGCAGAGTGAGGGAAGGGGGAGAAGAAGGGTAAAAAAAATCAGGTTTTTGTCTTTCTCCTATCCCTGCCAAACCTCCCMAGCCTGGAGAAGGTTTGGGATGAGAGGGACCCCGGAGGGAGGTGCTGCTGCCACAGGGTGCTCTGGAGCAACTTTTAGGGAGCCCTGTACTCCCACAGCCTCACCTGCAGGCTGGTCCTGCTCCCCCTGCCCCTCCCAGTCCCCTCTTGCCTCTCTCAGACATGGCAGAACAACTTCTCAGGGTTCTGTGCTGCAGTTTTTTGTACAATGCTGCTTTTCCCAATAAAGCTCTATTTTCCTACTGCTTTGACCTTGCTGCTGGTGGGAGATGTGGGACCAAGCAGCTCTGGGGGAGGGCAGAGCTGGGTACTCCTTCTCTCACACCCATCCTGCCGGGTCCCATCCTGTCCCTCCGTGTCCCCATGGGGCTGGTGACCAGCTCTCAGAGTGACCGGCTGGCAGCAGAGCCACACGGTGCTTTATCTACCAGRGCACTGTGATAAGGAAACCTGGCTTCCGGTACTGCTCTGCTCCAAGGTTGATCTGGCACAGAAGAAAATCTAAAGTTTTCATTGATGTTTTTCCAAGGTTGAGAGMATAGGTCTGACGTCTCCTCCTGCTCCCGTGGGAACGCTGGTGAGGATTAATGGGGTGAAACTGGGCACTGGGTTCAGAGGTGCTGGGGATATGAATGCCTGGGGAATGAATCACATTATTTTTTCCTTCGGGGACAAAAAGTTTGAAAGGATCAATCCCTTCCTTCAAGAACAGATGTGATTTGTCTTGTTGTGCTTCCTCCTTCACTCCACACCTCCCCGCTCCTCCCCGCCCTGTCCTTGGGTGAGGCCTTGGGCCAGTATGGACCTGGGAACTTGTCCAAGTCAAAAATTTGTCTGTGTATCCTGCACAGAAGAGGYTCAGATATCCCATATTTATGAGGCAGATCCTCACTCTAAAAGCAYTTCAGTGTCTCCCCAGCCCCATCTCTGGTGCCTTCCAGCTCCTACTGTACCCCAGAGGAAAAAGGGACAGTGAGTGAACCAGGGCCTGGGCACTGTGACCCTTTTTGGCCACAGAAAGGGCTGATGTGGGTTCATGGACACATGGGCTGGCAGAAAAGCACCTGCACTTATGCACTGGGGAGGCTCAGGGTGGCCCCAGGGTGGGGAGGAGCTCCTGGGGGGAGCAGTGGAGCAGCAGCAGGGGAGGAATTCCTTTTCCTGGGGGAAAGAGAATGCTCAAGGGGAGCAACAGATTCTTGGGAGGGACGTTGGAATGGGCTGGCAACAGCTTCCCTGGGTGGGAGATTTGGGGAGGGTCAGCAGCTTCTCGTGGGTGCAGCAGAACCCTGGGGAAGGTCCAGACCCCGGTGGGGCAGATCCTTGAGGAGGCGGCAGACCCTGGACGAGGGGCAGCACATCCTCAGCAAGGTGACATCCCCCGGGGATGGGGGGCAGATCTCCTTGAAGGCAGCAAATGCCGAGGAGAGCGACCAGGTGGAGCCGATCCCATTTGGGGTGAGACCGGCACCCCGAGGAGGGCCGGGTGAGCGGGGACCGAGTCCGAGGGGTGCGACCCTTCCAGGAAGGCGGGTGCCTGGGAGCAGCGCCGGGGCTGATGCTGTGGTCGGGACCGGGGCAGGCAGAGCCCCAGGCACCGCGGGCAGCGGAGCCCMGGCTGCGGTCCGGGGAGGCGGAGCGGACGGGCGGGGCGCGGCTGCCGCCCGCCTCCGCCGGGGCTGGGAGCGGGGCCGGGGCCGGTCGTGGCGCTCAGGGATGGATGCTGCGCCCGGGAGCGCCCCGCCGTCCTCCGCCGCGGCGTTGCGGCTGGCGCTGGCGGCTCCGGGACTGCCCGAGGGTCCCCTCGGCTGCCCCATCTGCCTGGACGTGCTGCGGGACCCGGTGACGGTGCCGTGCGGACACAACTTCTGCCAGGGCTGCTTGCAGGCGCTCCGCCAGCGGCCAGGCCCCCCCGACGGCGGCGGAGCGGGCGGGGCCGCTCGCTGCCCGCTGTGCCAGGAGCCCGTCCCCGCGGCCCTGCGGCTCTGCAAGAACCGCGCCCTGTGCGAGCTCCTGCCGTTGCTGGCGGCCGCCACCGGCGGCTCGTCCCCGCCGTCCCCGGCCGCCGCGTCCCCGATGGCCCCGGGAGCCGAGGAGGAGGATGCCGCGGGGGAGGAAGGAGCGGCGGTGCTGTGCGATGTGTGCCCGCCGGGCTCACGCGTGGCGGCCGAGCGCTCGTGTYTGGTGTGCCTGGCGTCCTTCTGCGGGGCGCACCTGGAGCCGCACCGGCGMGCCCCCGCCTTCCGCGCACACCGCCTGGTGGCCCCGCTCCGCCGGCTGGAGGAGGGGCTGTGCCCCCGCCACCTGCAGCCCCTCGACGGCTTCTGCCGCACCGAGCAGAGCTGTGTCTGCGCCCGCTGCCGCGCCCACGAGCATCGCGCCCACGACGTGGTGCCCCTCGAGCAGGAGCGAGAGCACAAGCAGGTGCGCGGGGTGGGGAGCGGCGCGGAGGTCCCTGCGCGGGGGCTGCCCCCGGTGTGGGGCTGTTCTGAGCAGTGTGAGGTGCGGCATCCCTTGAAGGGGTTCGCCCCGCACCCGTGTCCCCGCAGGGASCCCGATCCCCACGTGGGGTGTGTGTGCAGTGTGGCACTGGTGGGGTACCGTGGGGGGGATGCTGTGCTCTCACCCCTCGGGGGTTCCGCCCCAGCCATATGGACAGGGTGAGTGCCATCAGGGAACCCCGCGGGATGGGACAGGATGGGCAGATGGGGACGGGGATCGGGGCAGAGCCGCCGCCAGGCATCACGCGGGGAGTTTTCCCGCTGCGGAGCCGAGCTCGCAATCCCGTGGGTGTAGGGCTGGGGCGAGAGCGCCTGGGCCACCCCACAGTGGCCACCCCCGCGGTCATGGGGCACCCGCCTGCTCCGTCTCGTTCCCACAGCTCCGTCAAGGCGGTTTTTCTGGCCGCGCTGGCAGCCGGCCCGGCCGCCGCTCCCGCTCCCCCAGCCTTTTGTATCCTGCCGTTTTGGCAGCGGGGGTTTTTCCATCACTCCCATTCCCAGATGCGACTGAGTCACCTCCTAAACTCACACCCACGAGYCTTCCCAGGAGCCGGGGCTCMMAGCCCSWYSTGGTGCTGCCTTRRAAGTGTGGGGTYTCTGTGGGGCTGCGGGCAGATGGGRGCTCGGGGTGTGCTGGCACCTCACATGTCCGTGGGGYATTTGGAGACCTTGGGAAAGTTTGCCTTTTTTAAGGAGGAGCTCGGGGTCTGGCAGGGAGCACAGCAACGTCCCCAAGCCAGCCACCACTCCTGATGGGCTCTTAGGATTGCAGGAAAACCCTTTTATYGGCATTATTAGTCATGAGGTGCCTTAAAATAGAAAGTGTGTGTAATCCCAGTCCCGAGGAGCTGTCAGACCTCGGCAGGCGCTGTTTAATGTCGCCTGCACGTCCCCTGTGACTGCCCTCGGCCACCGCCCTCGAGCCGCGGGCTGGGATGGATGCACAGGAAAATACCGATACCTGCTCCCCGGGCATGGGCACTGCAGGGAGCAGGGCCGGGGGGCTGAGCACCAGCAGSGAGCTGCCCTGGCTGCGGATTGCCCTCCTGGCTCCCGAGGGACCCGTCCTCGTGATGGGCAAGGGCTGAGCCAACAATAGTGTGTCAGGAAACGCCGYGTTCGGAAGGTGCTTCCTTTGCAGCCACGCAGCTCCCCGTGCTCCCGAGCTGGTTTGCTTTGCTCCGAAACAGAAACCTCCAGGGGACCCTGTGCTGTGTTTCTGAGTGCTCCAGGTCTGCCTTTCAGCTTTTGCACCAATCCCAGGTGGATTTTCCCCAGCTCTGGATACTCACTAAGAGCACCCACTTAGCTGCAATCACTGCCTGATGGGTTTGCTTTCAAATTCCTGTTTTGGTTGGTTTTCCCCTGAGACCAGGGTGGGGAACCTGGAGCTGGACATGACCCTTTGCAGCCCAGGCTGCTCCTTTCGTTTTCCAGCTGAGTGGGACGGGAGGTTTGCAGGTTGGGTGTTGCAGGGAAGGAAAACAGGAAAACARCTCATGGTTCTCCTTGCATCCTTCACCCAAAGCCTGGCAGGGAGGTCACGGTCACAGAGGGTCTGTGGGTTGAACTCAGGGAGAGGCTGGGACTGCTGCTCCCACTGGGACTGGGGATAAAGCTCSGTGTTTGTCCTTCATGTCTGCAGGCCCAGCAAGCCAAATTCCTCAGCGATGTGGAGAATGAGCTGGAGGAGCTGGYAGTCACCATTGCCCAGGCCAAGAAGATGGTGGAGCTCATTAAGGTGACTCTGTGATGGTTTCACTCTGTTGGTGCCGCTCTGCCAGGCTGGGGGTGGAGGAGAAGGGGCTGTGAGATTTTGGGGTGTAGGGTTGGTGCTCACAGCAGCATCATAAAACACTGRTGATCCTGGCAGGGATCCCTGAGGATTCTTGCTCCTCATCTCTGCCAACMCTCGTGGCATCTCTGGTTGCTTTCATTCATAACATGGAAGAAGGAACAGGGCAAGGGCCGTGCCAGGGCATCCTCTGGCTCTTGCACCTTCTCTSCCCAGGCTCATGGGGGATTTGTCCCCTCTGGCCCTTGCAAACTTGTCACTTCCCTGCCTGGGGACACCAGACGTGGTGCAGCAGTGAGTGGCAGTGCCCAGCTAGGTTCCTTGACAGCAGGGCTGTGAAATGATCTGAGTTCTTGGGGTGATGAGGTGGCAGGGGGACCCCACAATGCTGAGGACTGGGTGCTGGGCAGGGCACAAGGATGTCCTCCTGCACCCTCACCTGCGGGACCTGACCCCTCTGTCCCCTCTGACCCCAGGGTGCTGCCACCAAGGAGAGGGAAAGGGTCCAGAAGCTCTTTGCAGAAGCCTCCGAGGTGCTGGCGACCTTCCAGAAGGAGGTGACGGGGTTCATCGAGGACGGGGAGCGCTCCATGCTGGGGGAGGCCGAGGCCGATCTCCGCTGGAAGGAGGAGAGACGAGCCAAGCTGGCCCAGTGCAAGCAAAACCTGGAGAATGTCCCCAGCACTGACACCATCTACTTCCTGCAGGTGGGATGGGGCAAGGAGAGTTGTTGGGGCAATGTTGTTTTGTGGGGTTTTGTCCCCTTTCCTATGGAGCTGGGGGCCGGGAGCCCTGGGATGTGCAGGCTGCAGAGTCTCAGTCCTGGCAGCACAGTCCCCTCTCCTCTCCAGGGACACCAAGATGTTCCTTCCATCACCCCCACGTCTGTCTGTCTGACTCAGGAGAGGCTGATGTGCTGCCCAGAGTGGTACCTGGGGTGTGGGGGAAGAGAGTGAGAAATTGGGGTGCTCCATTCTCCCCTCCAGCATCCCCCCTTCCCTGGCAGCCCAGCAAGAGGAGACATTTTAGGGCAGAGATGCTGCTCCATGTGAGGTGGGCAYGGTCTGGGTCCAGGTTTGAGAGGGAGTGAAGAGAAGGTGCCAGGAAAGCKCTCTCCTCCCTTACGCTGTCCTTGGGCCAACTCCTGAGAGCTGCCAGATCCCAAATCCTCCAGGGCTGGGTGGGGTTGTGGAACAAGAGACAACTTTGGCTTGCTTGAAACCTCCTGAAACTCCATCCTTTTTGGCTCAGGAATTTCAGGCCTTGAAAGTAGCCATGGAAGAAAACCACTCTCCAGCTCTGAGCTTCCAGAACGAGCTGAACTTCACCAAGTGCGCCCAAGCTGTGGGTGCCGTGAAGGATGTGCTGTCCACCGCCTGCAAAAACCAGTGGAACCACTTGCAGGGGAAAGGAATTGATGGCTTGAAYGGCCAGGAGATGGAGGAAGGTTTGTGTTCACCCAGCCCCTCTGCCTGGATGGTTCCTTATCCCTTTCCCTCCTCCCTGCGTGGGTGGGAGGTGGCTGCAGGCTCYGTGGCCCCTGTGAGCGCTGGCCCCTGTCCCTCCAGCCCTGGAAGCTGCTCAGCACGGGTTCCCTGCACGTTGCACAATCCCTGTCTGGGCTTACGCCTCTCTGAGGTTTTGTGAGTTTTTCCACGGAGACGGGGACTGGAGAGGCAACAAACAGCCCGGGAGTTAGGCAGRGCCCTGTGGGAGGGGGCAAGTGGCCAAAGTGGCCTCCTGTGAAAGGGAACTCTTCTTCCCAGGACAGACAATCTCCTCATGGGGCAGCTGTGGGCTCCCAAACCTGACGGGGTCAGAGCTGATGTGGCAGCTCCCTCCGGTGTGTCCCATTCAACCTGAGCTCTCCTCTCTCATTTTCTGGGTTCCCTGTGGGAATTGCCGCCGGTTCCTTGTCCCACTGCCCTATCACCTCCCTGGTGACAAAAGCCGTGTCTGTCCTTCCCTGTGTGTGARCCATGGGGGATGCACAGGGATGTGGGGTGGGGCTGTGACAGCCGGGTGCCATCGGGGACAGGGGACAATGCTCCTGCACCCCTTGGTTTGGTTCCTYTGCTGACACAAACCCTCTGTCCCTGCAGCACTGGCCGAGTCCCGATTTCCAGACAAGTCAAACAATCCCGCCTGCCTGGAGAGCCGTGATTATTTCCTGAAATGTAAGCGGGGGGTTTTTGCTGTGGYRGTTGTTGCTAAGGCACATCTTCCCSTTCCCCTCTCCTTTCCTCCTGCCCTGCCAGCGCTGATCCAGCGGCTGTGGGAGCGCTGCCACCAACAGAGGAAACATTGCTCGGCTGACAGGGGAGCCTCCTGGCTTTCCTGACAACAGTCAGAGCTGCTTAGGTGATGGTTTTTTTCCCTTTCTGTGGTTCTGCCAGCCCAGCTGCCCCAGGGGGGGCTGCAGGCATCCTGTGTAATTTCTGCTGCCTTCCAGCCCTTGGCAAATTGGATCCTCTGTTAAATTAGATCAGAGTTGGTGTGTCTGCTTTGTTTGCTGCCGGACCCTGGGCTGGTGAGGATGGTCTGCAGCAGCAGAATGAGAGGGATCATGCAGTGACTGGGCGGAGTGGGGCAGGAGGGGCTGGGGCTGGAGGGTGCAGGGCTGGGTTCGGGCTCACAGACCCCATGAGTGTCCCCCAGCCCTACAGGGGATATGGGGTCACCTACAGACACATCCATAGGGGACAAGTTCTGCCTCAGTGGCACAGAGCAGCAAAGCCTGGSCTCATGGAGGGTGGGCTCTGCTGCTGTCAGCTGGGACAGCACAGGGTTTGCAGTGCAGCTGATCATGATCCATACCCAGGATCATTCCCTGCAAGAACTTCCTTGGACATCCCCTCTGTTAGGGATCCATCAGTGGTTCTCACATGGCCCCACACGCTGGGGGCTGCCTGTTTTCCTGTCTCCTTGGGCTCCCTCTCTGCTGTGTTTGTGTGTGGCTGTCTGAAATCCACTGCTAGATGGGATTTTCCTATCATCACCACTCTGTCAGGGGGATTCTCCAGTGTCTGGTATCATGGCTGAGCTCACCAAGCAGCCCCTCTGCTCTCTGCTCTGCTCAGTTACCTGTATTCATCCTGCTTATGGCATTATCAGCCCTTTCAGCCCCTCACCTCATTGAAATTTGCTGTGGGACTTAAAAGCAAGGGGACAGAGGGATGGGACAGTATAGAAAGGATCACACTCACCATCAAAGGCTGGGGCAGGGGGAGCAGAGCAGGGACAGGATAGAAAGGATCACACTCACCATCAAAGGCTGGGGCAGGGGAGGGATGGGAGCACTCTCTTGCATTTCCCTCCTCATCCTCCCTCCTCCCTTTTGCCCCACAGTTGCCTTCATCATCGACCTGGACAGCGACACCGCCGACAAGTTCATCCAGCTGTTCGGCACCAAGGGGGCCAAGCGGGTGCTGTGCCCCATCCCCTACCCGGAGAGCCCCACCCGCTTCATCAACTGYGAGCAGGTGCTGGGGCTCAACCTCATGAACAGGGGCAACTACTACTGGGAGGTGGAGCTGATCGATGGCTGGGTGAGCATCGGGGTCATCGCCGAGGACTTTGACCCGCGGGAAGCCTACAACCAGGGCCGCCTGGGCCGCAACGACAGGTCCTGCTGCCTGCAGTGGAACGGCCAGAGTTACGCAGCCTGGTTTGGTGGCCTGGAGCACCCCATCCAGCAGCCCTTCTTCCACACCATCGGCGTCTTCCTGGAGTACTCGGAAAAGGCTYTGACCTTCTACGGGGTCAAGGACTCCAAGATGACCTGCCTGCAGCAGCTCAAGGTCTGCCCCTCGGCCAAGGGGAAGTGTGACCCGTTCCAGAGCAAGATCAACCGGCAGTTTGCCTCTCTGTTCTCGTGCAAGCTGAAGCCGGCCTTCTTCCTGGAGAGCGTGGATGCCCACCTGCAGATCGGGCCGCTCAAGAAGGATTGTGTGTCGGTGCTGAAGCGCCGGTGACTGCCCGGGGAGGGGGGCACGGCCACACACACAAAAGCCTGTCCTGCGGGTTGTTGCCACCTCTSTCTGGTAGCCCTGTGTGTCTCTGTGGTAGCCCTCCCTCCTCTCTGTGCTGTTGGGGACCCAGGGCTGGACAGAGCCTCCTGAGGGGCAGGGCTGGGGGCCGGGATGGGGCTGGGTCCGAGTGCCAGCTCTGCCGCTTGGGCCAGTCCCTGTGCTGCTCCCTGCCCCTCAGCTTCCCTTTCTGGACATCAGGGACTGTCAGACAGCCTTTCTTGGTAAAGTGTGCTGCTCAGGAGTGCCACACGGGTTTGGAGTTGTGCTTTGGCCGCCTGCCCAGTCCCTCTCCTTCACCTCTGCTCGTGCTGCCCCGGCGACTTGTGCAGATGCTTTGTGCCTTATCTCGGGCTCTGTTGCTGATGCTTTTCTAAGTGCTGCCTCATGGACACCTTCTGCACACTCCTCACTAAGTGCCTTTGATGGAGCAAGCCCTGCGTGGACCAGGTGAACCCCCAAAGCAGACGTGGTCACCTCCCTGGTGCCACATCACCGCTGTTCCCTGGCTTGGATGAGCTGGTATTGCGGGGAGAGGGATGTGGAGGAGCCTGGCTGGGTGCTGGGGTGATGCTGGGGTGATGCTGGGGTGATGCTGGGGTGATTCAGCACCTCTCCTTGCAGGGTTGCCCAACCATTAGTGCTGCAAATGTGAAATGAGGATCTCTGCCCGCTGGGAAAGGGAGAAACCTCCTGCCAAGAAGCAGCAGCGCTGTTCCTTCCTGGAGATGGGGAAGGGAACAGCACAAACCAAATTTTGARGATGTGCTTTCAGTAAATACATTCCCTAGCAACTGCTGAAGCCTTACAGCCAAATTCTCCCCCGTGTTTCTGATGACTCTACTATTTTGGAGGATTTTAGTACTGTTAAGCTCCCAACCCTTCAAGAACCCTGGGCACACTTGAGCTGAAAATCTGCCCCTTAGCTTTGGGATTTCTAAGTGACAGAGGTGCTGTATCCTATGTCCCAGGGCTAAATGGTCCRGTTTCGTGTTTTTAGGGACAGCTGTGAGTGCCCTGATAAAGGTGCAGCATCCGTCAGTTACTAAATGACCCTTTAGACTCTGGGAATAAGAAACAATTAACAAAAACTACTCTCAAGCAAGAGGGAACACTGTTCCCTTCAGGAAAGGTGGAAACACGAGGCTGAGAGCCAAAACTGCCAGTTCACATGTCCGAAGGGAGCTTTTTCAGAAGGAAAACACAGAAATATTGCCTGTGAGGGTGGCACAGAGCAGCCCTTGTCTCAGCCCAGCGTGCCTTTCCACCAGTTTATTTTTTCTGGGGTGATTTTGCTACCTACCTCCCAAAGTTTGCTTTCCAGAACCGTAGTGCTGTGTAATGCACACCTGGAGAGAAAATACAGAGGGTCAGGTTCTTCACTGGCATGAGCGAGCCAGTGATGATGCAACAACGGTCAGCAGGGATAGGAAACAGCTCATTTARCTAAATATATGATATATGTATATATTTCCCCCAAAGGAGAAGCTGGAAATCATAGTGCTGTATTCAAGTGGAGCCAAGGGAAAAACGTGAATGTGAATAAAAGGTAGGCACAAAGCTGAGAGGATTGAAGTTAAAGCCACGTTTCCATGTAAAGCCACGTTTACACACCGAGGCTCAAAGASCTCCTTTACTGTGACTCCTTCGCCAGCGCTGCCAATTCCTGCTGGCTCAGAAAGAGCTGCCAGTCCCCAGAAAATCGGGATATTTGACTGAATGAAGGGTCTGAATGCGGCCACTCCTTCCCCGGGGCAAGGCTGGTGAGTCAGTTTGGGAAGGGGCTTGCTGGGATCTGTCTGCAAATTCCTCCTCCTCCTCCTCCCCCTCGGCATGAGGTGCCTCCTAAATGGTGCGAGCAGTGGGAAAAGGAACARTAAGGGCTTCCAGAGTGAAATCTGCAGCTGAAATCTTGGCCTTTCCTGGCTGGTGGGAATGCTGCCCAGACTTCTGTCCGGATGGGAATTCATTCCCCGCGTCCCGAGCTCCAAACCCGCTTTGTTTGGCTGGCGCCAGCGGCCCCTGCAGAGCCCGGCGCTTGCACGAGATGTCAGCGGTGACACAGAGCAGG